TGTAGGGCTGTGCAGTACTCGCATAGATATGTTGTATCCCTGGCACTTGGCAGAGATATATTTTGAATAAATGCAATAATCACATCACAACAAGTCTACGCCCTTTTAATCGCCGCTCAAACCGGATATGGGGACTTTGCGGCATATCATCGCCGCTTCAATCACACTACTGCCACACTTCACTGCGAGTGTGGGAGGGAAAAATCGATCGGTCACCTTGTCTATTGTCGGAAAGCATTGGCAACATGGCGGTTAAAAAGCGGAAATCGAAGGGCATCAGCTCTGGGAACAATGCTCGGATCAAGTGGATGGCAATTCTTCAATGAATACGTTCAGGGTAGCGGAATATACGCGGTGGCTAGCCGGGGATTGTCAGGGATACCTGTGACTAGGAGGTCATAGATCGAAAGCCTAGGTGGTTTGGCATGGAAAGAGGGATCGGAATCGAGGCTCAGGCGCGTAGTGGCTGAGGAGGAACGATGGAAGGGAGATTGTCAAAGTTTTTGTTTTGTAATGCGGGATTTCGCGTGGAAGTTCTCTTTAGCTTTTGATTCTGGGCTGCTTGACTCGACATGATTCAACTCATAGATGCGTTGTGGCATGTTTCTGATCCTTTAAGTGGGACGAGGTCTACTTGTACTTTACGGTAGTTAACCTTATCCGGCCCGACCCCATCCATGCTCAAGCTCAAGTAGGAGTGCGACGGGAGTTACTTTACCTAGCACGTTGATGAACAATCAATCAATCAGCTGTCCGCCACTCTGATTTACTATTAAAATGTGGCAAAGCTCCATCTACCAGGGAATTTATATATATTTCTACAAGTTGCATGAAATTCCTCCCGCCGAAAGCGTGTTTCATTGGGAAATCCCAAGACCGGTCACACTTAGTAAGAAAAGCCAAATTCCTATCCAACAGTGATTCCATGGAAAGATTGTTCCTTTTAGAAAAAAGAAGTTGGTTCATTTAAATCCGTCGTTAAAATCCTCGTCAGCCCGGGTTATTTCCCTATGGCGATGGCTAAGAAAAACTACCGAAGAAGTTGGACAGGGAAATGTCTCGGGTCAAACACAAGGACTGTCTATGCGTACGTGAGTGTTTTGCTTCCGTCAGTGCTTGCATTCTGTATTTAGACAGTATGAGGATAAAATGGATATCTAAATATGGACGCAAGATTCACTTAAGAAGTAAATGGACCTGGTTATACACACATCCGATTTGCTCAACAGCCATGCCCATTGATTGTCTAATGTACTCATATAATGCGTATCGACATTGTTTGATCCTTAAGCTCCTCGTAACTAGTACGACTCGCATTTGAGTCATGCATTAATATGAGCTTGCATAAATAAAGTCGTGTAGTTTCATTGCTGAGCCTTGCCTATGAAGTCCTTGCTTCCTTGCGCAGACTAGGATCATAACGGTAATTGACCCCAGACAGCGAAGATATATCCTGATGGTCCTTTTTTTTTAAAAATCATTTAATGTGTATTCAGCTATAAAGCTATGACACATGACCGGTGCTATGTATACATGTTGGATGACTCTTTTGACGTTAGAGACACTCATACTCTGGATTTCATTTGCAAATACCACTATGAGGTATGTTCGCTTACACAAACAGTCGACCCTCCTCCGTAAGTACCCACCAAAGAGAATTTCAAAACCTTTGGTTATCCAAGCATGCCTTCGTTATCCATGTGTACCAGCGCCGCGAGAAATGTGGTTGTGTTTTGCTGGATTTGAACCAGCGATCTACTGTCTCAAGTGGGATATGTGTCCAAGCTATCCAGACTCTACTTGGCAGACCGGCCAAGATGATGTACCTCTGCACCATCTAACCTTGGCCATATTTAAAGTGTCGCCTGCACTCTCACAACCGAAGTCTTGGCACGCACAGAGCTCAATTTGTAAAAACTCCTTTCCAGATTTCAAAATTACACGCCCGTCGAGACTGTATCTATCCTTCGCATCATCTTATCAACTTGTCCTGACCCCTCTCACTCCAATCCCAATGAACTGTCTCCCAGATTTGTGCGCCACGCTTTGTGTCCTTCGTCGGCTATAAATATCGGCGTAGGCGTATATTTGGTGACCGGCTGAGGCCAGAGAAAGTCGATGAGAGGTGTGATCATTGGAATAAGGATGTACCAGGTCGTACTTGTAGACTTGCTGAGACCTAAGTAGGAGTCAAACTCGTTGGGAGCGAAAAAACGACGTGGTGGAGTAATTTGATACGTTTTCTCGTGGGCCAACTTGTTCGTTATTGCGAAATTTGACTGAACTTGGCTCTGGAAAACATTTCACTCCTGGGTTCGTAGAGGACACCGCGTACAGGTGTTCAGTCTTGCCCTCCATGATGGTCCATGCAGCGCCTGTATCAAGTGATCTGTATAAATACCCTTGCATTACCCGAGCATTAGCCATCAGAGACGGAGGCATGTCTGAATAACTCAGGGTTTTTGAGACGTTCCCCTGGGTGGGTATTCACGGATGAGGGTTGACTTGGGGTGAAGAAAAAGCCACCATAACTTCGCAGTGGTACTTGCAGATGAAATCTGAGGCATGAGTGCTCTTCTTGTAAATTAAGTCATCTTTTCTCTACTTTTCTTTGATTTTGTGTCATAGCTAGATAGCTGCATACGCAATTAAAATCTGATGAAAAAAAAGAATTGGCCATCAGAACACTTACCCACGTAGATAGGAGTTTTTCTCGGAGGGTATAGACTAAACCTTTGTACGCGGTGTCTACTGCGAACCCGGGAGTGAAATTCTCTACCAGACCTAAATTCAGTCGAATTTTGCAATACTGGAAAAACTGGGCACACGAGCCAATGATCCGTCACTCTGAACCAAATCAGTATTTTTCTCTCACCGAGATCAATTCCCACCAACATCTCATCAAATTTACAAGTACGAGCTAGTACATCCTCGTATTTATGACCACATTACTCGTCAGATCAGTCTCTGGCTTTTAGTGGCCTCCATTTATACGCCCACCACGATATTTACCCACGACAGAAGAAACAAATCGTGATACACAATTCTGGGAGGCAGAAATTCGGGATGGACGTGAGCGGTAGAAGGAGAGGTATGCAATGTGACGCAAACGGTCGATAAAATCTGGAAAGGACTTATTGTCGGAATAATTCAAGTGTGCGGGCTCCGTGACAGGCTTGTTGTAACAACAATGGTATCAATTAATAACTCTCTGCCTATGTTCCTCCTAAGAATCATCTAATAATTACATCTAAGGCATTTACTTGTTCCCAGCGCTACTTTAGGAAAAGTTACCCAAATCAGTCACGTGAAGTAACACAGAGCTATAATCAGACTGTCATATTTCAAACTTAGGACAAGTGTTACATGAATCGAGCATTGTGCGCTACACGAATTTGATTACGAGGGTGCAGGCGACAACGTAAACACCTCCAATGTTGGATAGTGCGTTGGTACACAATCTTGGCCGGTCTAATAAGTAGAGTCTCCTTTAATAGTCATAGACTCAAATCGGATGTAAATTTAAATAAAATAATTAGAATCTAGATAGTTTGGACACCTATCTCACTTGAGACGGTTGACCACTGGCTCGAATCCGGCAAAACACCACAATATTTCTGGCGATGCTCCTGTTCATGGATTACGAGGGCATGCTTGGATAATCAAAGGTTTTGAATTTCCCTTTGGTGGGTACTAACGGAGGAGGGTCGACTGTTTGTGTAAGCGAACATACCTCATAGTGGTATTTGCAAATGAAATCCAGAGTATGAGTGTCTCTAACGTCAAAAGAGTCATCCAACATGTATACATAGCACCGATAATGTGTCATAGCTAGAAATCGGAAGTCATATTAAATTATTTAAAAAGAAAAATCTCTCAGATTCCGTATTTTTTTTAAAAGCTTGTCCGCCTCATGAACAGATTTGATAGCTCTGTACACCTCTACATTTGTCTCTACTAGATATCAAGCTCAGCAGATAACAGTAATTTATTTGGGAAGTGGATAAAAGGGCTCCATTTTTTTATGAAATTCGACAGGGCCGATTTGTAAAGTCCATACGAAGAAACCTTCCGAAATTTCTCATGTGAGTCTCATCCTACTCTATCCTGATACGGTTCACTGATGGTTACCTCCTTCCTCAGATATCAGTAGACAGTAACATATCCAAAATACATTAAAGGTAGCTCTGTGGTACATTTTATTTTCACAATTTATTTATGTGCCGAACGTCATTAGATAAAAGAATTTATGTCTGATAGCTTTCTCTTGTTCAAAGGCAACATTTGTGTGGTCTCCTAGGCCACGTGATATATAATTGCACGACGTATGGCAACATAAAATCGATGATATGTCACAAATGGATGAATAGCTGCTTAAGATGGAGCCCTCTGCGTGACCCAGTAATTATACCTCTCTAAATTTTATGTTTTAGCTCGTTCCAGACAATTCGCATATAGAGATCAATAATGATAACACCCTGCCAAGAATGGGAGTCACACTCTAAATATTTTGTAAAAATGGCAGAAATAGTTAAGGTCTAGGAAGCTCAGCTCCAACCATATCATAAGTAATTAATTTAAGAATTATGCTTTATTTGGTCTATGAGCTTTGCCACATTTTATCTTTATCTTAGAATACAGAGTCCGGCATCCTAAGTCAGAAAGTATCAGAAACTAAACCACCAGAGGAGTGAGAACTGTTGTTCATCTCTTTAGATATGTTAGTTGGCACTGCGGGTCAAAGCTTCGACCAGCCACTCTAGAGGACGAAAGATATGAGCAAAAAATTAACGCAAATGAATGAGCGGATAATAGTTCAAGGCTGTAAATTTATGCTCGCTGGTGGAGTGGAAATTCTCGAAAGTTGCTTAATGTTTTAAAGTCATTTTCTGCAAGGATCTCTTTTTATCGCCTGCTAAATTTAGAGTGTAACAACTTACCCATGTGTTGAAAAATTGCGCCCACGAACTCCATTCTCCGTTTAAGACCATCATACTTCATTAACAGAATACGAGGCTTGGAAATCGTTTACGACCCTCGATATTTACGTGGAATTCGTGAATACCGTCCTCGGTACCCGCATATCTATCTAATGTTAACTTGTATTACTACTCGTCAATAATTGTTTGAAGCATAGGTCCTTACAAGATTCTACCATCCTGACTCCAGCAGCAGCCTGTCGTTGAAAGATGAAACCCATCGTTTCCATTCCCCGATCGGTTTCTCGGAGCTGGTACAGTCCCTTGAGCGTCGAGAACAATTTCATTGAGTTCTTCTATTCCACGCCAGGGTTGACGCAGTCTATGTAAAAATTCCTCTTGATCGTCTTCTTCTAGCTCAATACGAGGAGGTGATAGCGGATCATTAAGGACATTTGCAGCATGTCGTTGTTGAAAATACCGTGATCTTGCTTGGGCCCACAAGTTTTCTGGTTCGGACTCAGATCGACGAGATTCCATGAGCCTCAGCCGTTCAAGTATATTCACACCGTCATCAAGGCTTCTGGAGTTCTCTTGTTCATTTAAATTGTCGGATTCAGTCAAAGTCTGTGCGTATGTCCTTCTTCTAGATCCTACATCCTGCCCCTGCTGATTCAGCCTATCATGCTCTCGATTTCTTTCGTTAATAAATGTTCTAAACGAAGGGGCGTGATCCTGACTTAAAAACTCCCTTAGAGTGACTGGAAGGCGGGGCGAAGTGCTGCGCGCGGCGCTATTACTACTTGCGACGTTTGGAATAGTTGTTAGACGTTGAGAGTCTGATGAGCTACGCCATGCCGAATTCATAGATAAATTTCCTTGCCTTGAGTTAGAAACCCTTTGCTGTCGAGCATTCTGATGCGCCTCAAGAATGTCAAGCTCTTCTCGATTAAATGGGGCAGCGATTATTCTGCAAGGATCAGGACGCCGTCGCCTTGAACTTTCTAGCAGATCAAAATGTTTGTTAACCACAAGCACAATCTCAACTTCACCAAAATTTGGATCCAGATTCAAGGACTGTCTGGTTTGAAAAAAGTTTCTGACGTCAGCGACCCCAACGCGACCCTTGGATTCTGTCCAGGCCTAAGTACTGTCAGTACTGTTCTCTAGGTTAACCTCTTAACTGATTCCCAGAAACGGTTATATTAATCTTAATTTTGAATATTGTTTGGTATTGAGAAGTTAAAATACATACCAGCAAATCAAAGGGACCACCGGAGAACTCCATGGCCCTGATACAGCTGTCCCAGCCCAAATTAGGCCTGGAAGACGTGAAAATGCATATAGGAGATTCAAAAATTTTATCTGTTTTAAAAACAGATATTATACCAAATTGCGTTGCGACCGCTAGATATTTTCCGGAAGGCGAAAATGTCGCAGCGAAGCTGCCTCTTGGTTCTGAAATATCTGCATTGTTTTGCTTTTCAAGTTGGACTTTCCCTTCGTAGGACCAGTGGTAAGATCCAGTTATATCTAATTCATTCTTCACCGATTTTAATCGTAATTTCCGTCTATGAACGTAGAGAAACGGATCATCGCAAATACTAATTAACATTTCCCCATCGGGTGACATCATAGAGCGATTGACACAGTCAGGCAGCAGCAATATGTCCAGAAGCTCGGAGTTATCCAATCTCATAATTGAAACACTGCGATCATTATTTGAGGCGATTGCAACAGGCTCTTGATAAGTCCGCTCCGAAGGGGTTTCAGAAGGTTGCCATATTGTTATACAATTCACAATATCAGCACCTATTGTCCTGTTGATTTCTTCCAATGTTTGAACATCATTGCCTGATCGTGAAGATGACGTAGTTCTCCGCGATGGATCTAAATCTAATGGTAGATGAGCATCTGGCCCAGAATTGTAAGCTGTGTTGTTTTCTGATATATTTCTTTCTCCTATCCGTATTGCTGTGTAGTCACCTTTCTGGCCACCACAAAACAGCCATTCTTTAGAGGCGATAAGACAACGAGGTTCAAATTTCAGAGTTGTAAGTATGTAACTCTCTCGTGACTTTGTATTCAAAACAACCACATCTTTCCCGGTTGGATAATAGACTATATTTGGTCGTGGTGAGCTAATGAGCGATCTCAATTGAAGGTGTCCGGCACATATTCGAGTAAGGTAGAACTTTTGTGGGCTTGGGAGAATCAAGTCAGTAGTTGTGTGGTAGCTAGTTGAAATCTGTGGTTAGTCGAAAACACAATCCATAATCTTTATTATCAACGTACAGGGTCTCATCCGTAACCACAACTGCCATAGCTTACTTGAGATTTGACTCTCATGAAGTTAATAATCGCTAAGTGTTACACATACAAAAAGTTACCAATTCACCACTGCTCTCGTCATAGTCATACGTAATATCATACTGACAGATTGTTGCTGCCCCATCACGAATCGGCACCCTGAGTGACTGAGGCCAACATTATAGCGCAGAACCTAAAAGAATTTTCAAAGAATTTGTTTTTGAACCCCCTTCAAAATTCTCGATCATTCGCCATCAACCTTCTTGTACAATTACGTTCTCACCGCCAACCGTAAGAAAGATACAATCCCAATTCCACTGTATAACAATGCTCTACTCAAAAAGATCCGTTAGTTACTTTACGCCCCACTCCTGTATTCCTCTCACACATTAGAAGATGTTCCGGTCTTTGACCCTCCCACGCTCAACAAAACTTCGAACGCAGATCTCACCATTTGCTATCCGAAGATATGCAGAAGAAGCAGACAAGAAGATTCGTGGTCCTGTAATTGGTATCGATCTGGGTATGAAGTTCAGCCTGAGCTTAATGTATAAACAAGCTAATTAGTACTCACAACAGGAACTACCAACTCTGCTGTCGCAATTATGGACGGCCAAACCGCTAAAATTATCGAGAACTCTGAGGGTCTAGGCTCATGACCTTGCTAAATGATAAAAGATACTAATTCATATCTGCAGGTGCCCGAACCACACCCTCAGTAGTGGCTTTCTCCCAAGACGGGGAAAGACTTGTTGGTGTCTCCGCAAAGCGTCAGGCAGTAGTAAATCCAGAGAACACTCTTTTCGCGACAAAACGGTTAATCGGACGAAAGTTCACTGACGCAGAGGTGCAACGTGATCTCAAGGAAGTACCTTACAAAATTGTCCAACACACAAATGGAGATGCATGGGTATCAGCTAGGGGTGAGAAATATTCTCCATCACAAATAGGTGGATTTGTGTTACAGAAAATGAAGGAGACCGCCGAATCATATTTAACACGACCCATCCAGAATGCGGTCGTGACGGTGCCAGCATATTTCAATGATTCTCAGAGGCAAGCCACTAAAGATGCAGGACAGATTGCAGGACTTAATGTCCTCCGCGTTGTTAATGAGCCCACAGCAGCTGCCCTAGCCTATGGTCTCGAAAAGGATGAGGATAAAGTCATAGCAGTTTACGATCTTGGGGGTGGAACCTTCGATATATCAGTCCTTGAAATCCAGAAGGGTGTATTTGAAGTTAAGTCCACAAACGGTGATACTCACTTGGGTGGCGAAGATTTCGATATTTATCTTGTCCGCCACTTAATACAACAGTTCAAAAAAGATTCTGGTATAGACCTATCAAACGATAGAATGGCCATTCAGAGAATACGCGAAGCTGCCGAAAAAGCTAAGATAGAACTTTCTTCTTCCATGCAGACTGATATCAACCTACCCTTCATTACAGCAGACTCTTCTGGACCGAAGCACATTAACATGAAAATGTCAAGATCGCAGCTCGAAAAATTAGTTGATCCCTTGATCAGTAGAACTATTGATCCAGTCCGAAAGGCACTGAAGGATGCCGGCCTAGCAGCCAAAGATATTCAAGAAGTTATATTAGTAGGAGGCATGACTCGAATGCCAAAGGTAGCCGAGTCAGTAAAAAGTATTTTTGGACGAGAACCTGCAAAGTCCGTAAATCCTGATGAAGCAGTAGCAATGGGCGCCGCAATTCAGGGAGGAGTTCTAGCTGGCAATGTTACTGATGTCTTACTATTAGACGTAACACCACTATCCCTAGGGATTGAAACACTGGGAGGTGTATTCACCAGACTTATCAATCGAAACACTACAATACCTACAAAAAAGTCTCAGGTGTTCTCCACTGCTGCCGATTTCCAGACTGCCGTTGAGATCAAGGTTTTCCAAGGTGAACGTGAGCTTGTTCGCGACAACAAAATGCTCGGCAACTTTCAATTAACTGGTATACCTCCTGCGCACAGAGGTGTTCCTCAAGTCGAGGTCACCTTTGACATTGATGCCGACGCAATTGTCCACGTGCACGCGAAGGACAAAGCTACAAACAAAGACCAATCAATCACCATAGCATCCGGATCTGGGCTGTCTGATGAGGAGATTCAGAGTATGGTTGATGACTCAGAGCGTTACGCTGAACAAGATAAAGAAAGAAAAGCTGCAATAGAAGCTGCCAACCGATCAGACACTGTTCTCAACGACACCGAAAAGGCCTTAAACGAACACGCCGAAAAACTTGACAAAGCTGAAGTTGAAAAGATCCGAGAGAAAATCGAATCACTTCGAGAGGTTATCAGCAAAAGTCAGGCCGGAGAAGGAACAACTAGTGCCGCAGACCTAAAGAGCAAGACAGATGAGCTCCAAATGGCTAGCTTAACCTTATTCGACAAGATACACAAGACTGCTAACACCTCTGCTGAATCTGCAAATGAGGCACCTAATGCTTCGGAAAATGAAAGCAAGGACAGTGAGAAAAAGCCATAGAGGCTACAATACCCCTTTCCTTAGATGTCAAGAAAGCATTCGTTGATAAGATTCATCCTGTACTTATAATGTATTTTTTGTATCAAATACACATCGCCATAATGGATATACATATACCTCGGGGACACAGGCGTTGGAGCAACTGTTGGTGTCTCGTGACGCAATCTCCTCTCATTTGTAGATAAAAGTTAGACATAATTTCAAAAGATACAATTTAATGATCAATGTACAATTACGATTCTCCCCCTGAAGTGTATCGTTCCTTAACTGCATAGACAGACACCGTCGGAATACTCGAGCGGTTTTTATATCACACGTCTAAGCTGACAAAATTCTAGTGTTCTGAGGTATAGTTCATAGGCAAGATATACATCAACAACAGGGACATGGAACTTACCAATTGCGCACCTGTTAGCATTGAAGAAGGCACAAGGACAGCCTTATGTAGTTAATGGGGGTGACAAGGGAACAAAGAGACAGATATTAAAATCAGACTCTCGTAGTAGTAGAGAAGAATTTAGTGGTGAGTACTTAAGACGATTCACTGCCTTCTCGATCTAGCTCAAGAACACTTGAATTCGCAGAATTTTGGTGAGAATTTTTACAATTATTATTCTATTCCGCCAAAAACTAGAAATTAACACCAATATTGGGAGCTCACCCGAACTCAAGAGCCTTAACCGCTACGCTCTTGGTCGTCTTCTTGCAGCTCGCTCAGGTTATGGAGACTTTGCTTACTACTACCGCCGCTTTCAGCACTCGGACGCTCTTCTGATCTGCGCCTGCGGGCTAGAAAAGTCTCCCGAGCACTTCTTTTTTAGACTTAATCGGAGTCGGTCCCGTCTTTGCAGCGGAAATAAACACCCAAAGATGGGAATTCGCTGGATTCTAGGCTCTCCTGAAGGAACCATAGCTTTTAGTAAATAGCTTCATGAAACATGCTTTTTGAAGCATGCAATAACAAGAACTAGTACTCCAAATTATAAATACTTGGCCTGTATTTGCTAAAGCTCTGATTAAAAGAGTTTTGGTCTAGGTGATGGATAACTTTCCTTTTTATATATATAACTATCTTCTCTACTGTATTAGAGTACAAAAGTCTCAGCTGGAGAGTACTTTTGGCTTCTTTCGATAGTTCGTGGTGCATGGTAAGTAGGCCATGGCCCATTTATAACATGTCGGGCTTATTTAAAGATATCGGCACGCCGGTTAGTTTATGTAGACTGAGCTGGCCAACACGAGACCGCATGGTTATTTTGTTTTATTTATTTTGTCCTTAGCTAAAGCTATGTTTTCGACATTGGGTCAAGGACCTGTGGGGCCTGCAGGGTTCTCTGTTATCATTCCTACAGCCTAACTCGTTCCAACCTCGTGAATCGCTACCAAAAGTGCAGCTGATTAAACTAAAACGAAAAATCAAGAAAATCAAAACAACTCCGAAAATCAGAAGATTCCTCCATTTTGGACCCAGGTAATGCGCTCCTCACACATTCCCTGGTCCGTCACACCTTCCAGTTGACAAATTTGCCCCTTCACCGCTGAGAGCGAAAGATAGGTTAGCAGGCACCTTTTATCCAGCCGGTATCCTGCTAATTGTTAGTAGATGCCCCAGAAGGGGAGATCGTCAAGGTCGCTGTTCCTTCAGGCTTCTTCTTCAGATCTCAGCACTCCGAAACCTGTTGCCTCGGCCATTGAGACATCCTTCGCCGCGGCGACGATCGCCTCTTCGGCCTTTTTGGCTGCGACCCTAACTCGAGCCGCCTCCGCGAACTTCCCTTGCTCGAGGTGGCGTATCCATGCGAGCTGCTCTTTTGCCACCGGCCCAGACTTTCTGGGTCTAACTTTGCAGTCCCGAGAATCCGATCGGTGGGGTTCCCCACAGTTGCGACACTTGGTAAGGGCCTTGCACTCGGCTTCTGAGTGCATGTTTGATCCGCAGTTCCAGCAGGCTGGAGCGCGGGAGCGCGGGAGCAACCAGAGGTGGCGTGGGAGCCCAAACAGCGTTTACACTGTTCAAATTGGCGACGAGGCTTGTGAGTGGCAGCCTTACCAGATTCGTCGAAGTGGCGGAAGCCCGCACGAGGGGCGTAGTCCCTGGGAAAAAGGGCATGCCGGTTTCGATACGGCGCCCAAGGTCGACATGTCTCATGAGGTCGGACCTGGATTGGAAGCGCGCCAGTCGTACTGAGAATATTGGCAGAGACCCACCTAGGATCGACCGCCCTGGGGCCGCACACTGTAACTATACTTACAGGTACGTTTGGTATCTGTAAGGCGACAAGATCCGAAGATGCCTCGAGTTTGAAGTTTTCAATCGCCAGCTTCGAAGAGCCATCTAAAGTCTCTTGTCGTATTGTGTCGTTCTTTGCTAGAATAGCAAAGCCGGTTCTCGCTCGATAGAGTGAGGTTATTTCTTGGTCAAAGTAGCCGAATGTATACTTCAACGTAGTTCTGACGCTACTTGTGGACAGTTTTCGCCACGGATGGTCCTTTTCAAGGCGAAAGAACAGTCGTTTGTCGACTTTAGCCTTCGGAGCTTCTTTATTTTCGGCTTTTGCCGTAGGTCGCGGCACAGCCTTAACAGTAGGGACTGCTTTTTGTGACAGTCCGTTTCTGGCCACCGTGGCCCAGGTGCTTTCTATAGGCAGCGCTGGGACGGCGGGAATCGTTGTGCTCTTGACGTCGGGAGCCCTTGGGAGAGGGTTCGTCGGGCGAGGAGGGAGGACTGGTGGCGTAGTGGCCGGGCCCGTGGCCATGTTTTGCGCAATGGCGGCGCGTAGGTAGACTCTCATCAAGTCTACGAATTGTCTATTTGACGCGTTGGTCAAAGGGAGAAGGGTGGCTTCGACGCCAGAGATGGCGGCGGAGCAGAGGGCCAGGTTTGCCGCTGTTTCGGCGGCGCGTCGTTATTCAGATTCAACAATTAGTCGGAGCTGGAGGGGACACTCTACCTTCGTATCAGCTTTCGGCTGCGACGTTAATTTTGGCGCTGCTTTCGGTGCAGCGCTCTCCGAGGGTATTTGCGTGGTCTGAGGAGAGTTGAACGATTCTCCAATCTCGTGGGGGACGGAGGCTCGTCGAGGAATTTTTCAACAATTTCGACTTACCCGATCAAGTGAATATTGAGCTCAGTGACAACGGTGAGGGGTTTTTCCTTCCCTTTAGTAGAGGTCTTGCTCATCTCCGCGCATTTCGGAGACTGGGCAAGGCCAGGTAATTGTTCGAGAGCCCTCGGGTGGACTCTCGTGTTGTCCAACTTGACGTTGGGACGCTTTTTGCGAACTAGAGGCATGGTAAAAATGCCAGCGACTCGGTCACAATTTATTGAGGGAATACGACGAGCGCGAGAGGGAGGAAGAGGAGGAAAAGGTGAAGATTCGAGAATTCGAAAATTCGAATTTCAAAAAATTGCAGTTGTCTTGTGAGCTGGCACGACCTATAATAATAATAAATAAATAGGTACATCATTTTTCACGAAAAGCTACGCAGCACTCCTCGCTGCCTCTTTCATCAAATTGACTTCCCAAATCGCATTTATCCATCAATCTCACCCCATTTCCGTCCCCATATCCACTGTGCCACAACATAGTGGGTGCTGGTGCCGGTTCCATGGGAACCAGCGGTCCCGACGTGTCGCAAATCGCGACAATGGTCAAACTATCCGAAGGCAGCGGAGCGTCAACAGTTCCTCCAGATAAAAATCTAAATATCCTACGACTATTACTAAAAAAGCTCAGGATACTCTATGCAGATGAAGACGACGATGGCATTACCATCACCACGGAAGACATGGCGGAGGCCGTCAGGGCCTTCAACGGACACAACAAGGCTTGGAAGGAGATGCAGACGATGAAATCTCCCATCGAGGAAAGGATGTTGGCTCTTGAAGAAGTAGTCAAGAAGAGTCTCGCGGAGCCCGCTCGCGACGCGACTCCAATAATTTCTGGGCCGCCGGCCCCAAGAACATACGCATCGGTGGCAGCACCGCCAATGGCCAAAACAGCGGTTCGAATACGCGTCGAGGGTGCAAAAGACATGCAGCCAGCACAGCTGCTAATGAGGGCACAAAAACATATTCCAGGGGCATACGCAGTGCGACAGATGCGGAGCAATGACACTGAGGTGTTTGTTCAGTCAGCGACCCAGAGAGACGTGGCTCTCAACATGGCAGAAATAGAGGACTTTCAGGTCCTAAGGCAAGATTTTCTAGAGGAAGTTTACGGAGTCCCATTGAGGACTAAAATTGAAGGAGGCAAATATGCCAACAACACAACTTTGACACGGGAGATAGAAATATGTACAGCATTAAGAATTCCAGGTCTAAAGATCAATAGAATAAGATGGATGCACGACGGAAAGGAGATCGAGCGGGCCAAGACAAATGGCCGCACAAGGGGCTCAATAGTTCTGAGTCTTCCCACGGAGGTCTTGCAGAAACAAGTTGTTCGACATGGTACCGTTCTTAATGCAATGCTATACTCAGCGCAGGTGTGGTCCCCGAGGGCTCAGGCAAAGTAGTGCTACAACTGCAGTCAATAGGGATATACGCAGGCGTCATACGGAAAGGCAGCTGGGTACGGTGAGTGCGCAGGTGCTCACCAAACCCGGGACTGTCCTAGGAAAAGAGTTTCTTGCGTCAACTGTGGCAAGGAACATTGTTCGTGGCAGAGAGCGTCATGTCGAACATTCCAAGTCTACAAGGGGAGTGTTCAGAAAGCCCGCTTCGAGCTTCTGGAACGAACGGTGGAAATTCGAATGGAAACCAGTCCAATAATTGTGTCGCAAACAGCATCAGCGACCATTGAAGATCAAGGATTTACACTGGTCACTAATCGCAAGGTTGAACCCCAGAAGAAGGGACCAGGACGTTCACGAAAGGTGATCGCAGACTCAACAGCAGTACTAAATACATTAAGGGCAATGACACCGGCAGTTCCAACGATTCCGTCATCGAAAAGAAGAGAGAAGTATGGTGAAAGGAATCTTCCAAACTTCAGCTG